AGAAAAAGCATTTGACAAAATTCAACACCCATTTTTGATAAAAGCTCTCAGCAAGGTGGGAGTAGAAGGATCATACCTCAACATAATAAAAGCCATATATGACAGGCCCACAGCAAACATCATACTCAATGGACAAAAACTAACACCATTTCCCCTAAGAACAGGAACAAGACAGGGATGCCCCCTCTCACCACTCCTGTTCAACATAGTACTGGAAGTGTTAGCCATTGCAATTCGGCAAGAAGAAGAAATAAAAGGCATCCAAATTGGAAAAGAGGAAGTAAAACTGTCCTTATTTGCAGACGACATGATATTATACATACAAAACCCTAGAGACTCCATCAAAAAGCTACTGGACTTAATACATGAATTTGGCAATGTAGCAGGATACAAAATTAACCCCAAGAAATCCGAGGCATTTCTATACACCAATAGTGAACTTTGAGAAAGAGAGATTATAAAAACAATCCCGTTTACCATCGCACCAAAAAAATTAAGCTACCTAGGAATAAACTTAACTAAAGAGGTAAAAGACCTCTACTCAGAAAACTACAGGACGTTGAAAAAAGATATAGAGGAAGACATAAACAGATGGAAGAACATACCGTGTTCATAGATTGGTAGAATCAACATCATTAAAATGTCCATACTACCCAAAGCAATCTATAAATTCAACGCACTCCCCATTAAAATACCAACGGCATACTTCAGAGATCTAGAACGAACTCTCCAAAAATTCATCTGGAATAAAAAAAGACCTCGAATAGCTGCAGCAATCCTGAAAAAGACCAAAATAGGTGGGATCTCAATACCAGATATCAAGATGTATTACAAAGCCACTGTTCTCAAAACTGCCTGGTACTGGCACAAGAATAGGCATATAGATCAATGGAATAGAATAGAGAGCCCAGAAATCGGCCCGAACCAATATGCTCAATTAATATTTGACAAAGGAGGCAAGAACATACAATGGAGCCAAGATAGTCTCTTCAATAAATGGTGCTGGGAAAATTGGACAGATATATGCAAGAAAATGAAACTAGACCACCAACTTACACCATACACAAAAATAAACTCAAAATGGATAAAGGACTTAAATGTACGACAGGAAACTATAAAAATTCTAGAAGAATCCAAAGGCAACAAAATCTCAGACATATGCCGAAGCAATTTCTTCACTGATACAGCTCCTAGGGCACTTGAAACGAAAGAGAAAATGAACAAATGGGACTACATCAAAATAAAAAGCTTCTGCACAGCAAAAGAAACCATCAACAAAACAACGAGAAAACCCACTGTGTGGGAAAACATATTTGCCAATCTCATATCCGATAAGGGCCTAATCTCCAAAATTTATAGGGAACTCATACAACTTAACAAAAGAAAGATAAACAATCCAATCAAAAAATGGGCAAAGGACCTAAATAGACACCTTTCAAAAGAGGACATTCAGAAAGCCAAGAGACATATGAAAACATGCTCAAAGTCACTAATCATCCGAGAGATGCAAATCAAAACAACAATGAGGTACCATCTCACACCTGTCAGACTGGCTATCATCAACAAATCAGCAAACGACAAGTGCTGGAGAGGATGTGGAGAAAAAGGAACACTTGTGCACTGCTGGTGGGAATGCAGACTGGTGCAGCCACTATGGAAGACAGTATGGAGTTTCCTTAAAAAACTGAAAATGGAACTCCCATTTGACCCTGTGATCCCACTTCTAGGAATATATCCCAAGAAACCAGAAACACCAATCAGAAAGGATATATGCACCCCTATGTTCATAGCAGCACAATTCACCATAGCTAAGATCTGGAAACAGCCTAAGTGCCCATCAGTAGATGAATGGATTAGAAAACTGTGGTACATCTACACGATGGAATACTATGCTGCTCTAAAAAGGAAGGAACTCTTACCATTTGCAACGTCATGGATGGAACTGGAGAGCATTATGCTAAGTGAAATAAGCCAGTCAATGAAAGAAAAATACCACATGATCTCACTCATTCATGGATAATAGAGACCATTATAAACTTTTGAACAATAATAGATACAGAGGCAGAGCTGCCTCAAACAGATTGTCAAACTGCAGCAGGAAGGCCGGGGAGGGTTGCGGGGCAGGAGGTAGGGGGGTAAGAGATCAACTAAAGGACTTGTATGCATGCATAGAAGCATAACCAGTGGACATAAGACATTGGGGGATAGGGGAGGCTAGGGGATTGTCTAGGGCGGGGGGATAAAATGGACACATATGTAATACCCTTTGTAATACTTTAAGCAATAAAAAAAAAAAAAAAAAAAAAAAAGAAAATATGTGAAGGAGGACAAAGAGATATAATTAACAGAATTTTGTCCTACTCTGCTTGTGTGAAGGTGACGGACATGAAGAAATATAGACTAATTTCCAGATTTATCTTTTTCTGCTTAAGTAACTGGACAGACTTCATAATAATAAAGGAATTCTATTGTAAAAAAAAAAGTGGCTGACATATATTGAGCACTTTCTATGTGCTAAGTAGTTTAAGTATATTGCCTTACTTTATCTTTAAAATAACACTTGGAGTAGATGCTATTAAGCACATTTTACAAAAAGAAAAATGGGAGGCATGGAAACTGCAAGCCTCCCAGGATCACACACTAAGTGGCCAAACTGGGATTTGAATACACGTGTAGACACTTCCAGAATTTGGTGTTTAAGCATTATCCTATTTTGTCCACAGTGGATGGGCTGGGTTCAGGGAAGTGTGGGGCAAGCAGGTAGATTTCTAGCAGGCAGTTTTGATATGGGTTTGAAGGTTGAGTGATCTGATCTGGAGACAGATATCTAGGGAAGGAGCCAGGTAGACAACCAGGAGTCCACTCAATTATCCAAAATGTGACTTGCCATGCTCCTGAGTTAGTTTCTCTTTTGTTCCTCCACAAAAGAAGGAAGGCATGATCATCTTCATCAGGGTCAAACCAAGCTGTCATAGCCTGTTCCTCAGCCTCAACCCATCTGGTCACCATATGCCTCTGTGACAAGAGTGGGTTAAGTTTGCTCTATTTGCTCTTTTGCTTATGATGATTCTTATCATGAGAACACATTAATCTTGTGCTATTTTCTGTTTTCATTACAATCTTTGTCACACAAATGGAGCATCAGAATGTTAATGCCTCATATCTTCTGTGAAAGATAGTAGAATTCTCCATTGCTTTGACCTTTCCAATGTTCTGTGTTTCGATTGGGTCTGGAAGTTGATGATTAATGATAATTACAATAATTACACCAAGGGACTTGAAATATAAATTACCAAATGTTCAAAGGAAGCCACTTGAAACCTTTAATAGAAGCTTGAACAATCTCTGTCCAAATGTTCCCACTTCCTCCACCAGACATCCCCTGGTGAGAGGGTTGGGAGAGATTCAGCCTAGGTTGCAGCTAGAAGAATAAAAGAGCTGTGATTTGTGAGCCATGTTTTAGTTATATGAAGGGAGAAAAAGAAAAGAAATCAATTTTTAAATCGATAGAATGGTCCTTCGCCCAAATAGCTTTGCTTAACAAAGAGTGAGCATTCCATAAAACAAGACTTTTCTTTCGATTCAGATCATTAACTACGATTCCCATTAGGCGGGAGGTGCCACGGGGAAAGAGGATATTTACTTGTCTCCTCTGCTCTGGTTTCTTGGCTTTAATTTTAGGGAGGTGTAACTTTCCAGTACGGAGGGGTTAGGGCTTGATGTGGCCTTTGTACCTTTGTCTACAAGCAATACCGAAGCCCAGCACTGGTATTAGTATGATCATATTCTGTGTGAACCTCTGCAATGGGCAAGATGCAGATTTCCCAGGGCTTTTTTATAAGTAGTAAGAAGCATTTGCATGAGGGTTTTATTTTGAAACCCCTGGTTATTTTTCTTCCTGCTGCAGTAAATAAACTCCACCTTATTGTGTAGTACCGATACAGCATACAGAGTATCCCCATTTCTATCCAGAAGGTTGGAGTAGTTGCCATCGTGCCATGTTTCACAGGAAGGATTTATGATGACAAGGCATCTGAAGATATCTATGCATGGGTCACTTATGGAGCATATTTTTATATGATGACAGACCAAAAAGAGCCACCTCTTGCTGCAGTTTTGACACACTTGGATACAGACATCATGTCTACCGATGACTATGTCAGTTTATGTTATAGTGCACCCTAATTCTAATTAGTATCAGCCAGACTCTTAATATTTAGGCATCTATGTATTGAGAATGTGGTAGAAGAGTAGAAGAATGTCTAGGGGAGAATGATGAGAAGTCCTCATGGTATCATTCTCCAGACATATATAGAACACTGTGAATTTTCATCAAGGCCAGGATTGACCAAAACCAAATGTTAGTATGAGAGCCTTTGTAATAGACAAGTTTCAGATTTCCTGAGTTTTGTTTTTGTTTTTAATAAATATAGTAAGAAGTATGCCACTCAGAATAGCCCTTCTGGCAAGTGGACAGCTTCCCTCCCTCTAGCTTTTGCTCTGGGATCTACAGGGGCCCGAGAGTACCATCTGTATTCTCAGAGGCATGCTGCAATGGCAGTTTTGGGGATTCTCAAGTCCAGGTAGGCTGACCTCCTACTTCAACCAATGGTTGTAGTATTTTAGGATGTGATTCCTTTCCCCAGAAGATCCCATTGGATTCCAGAGATTTCTAATGAATCAATCTGGAGCATGCCTGGACAACAGCAAGTAATACCTAATTTTAAGAGTATTTTATATTCATGAAGAATGCGGTGCTGAATGTGTATGTACATGTAGTGTGCATATATGTGTATGTGTATGTAGCATGCGTGCATATTTCTACTTATCTTACAATTTCCCCTTTGAAAGGTGCCACACTTCTTGTTGGCCTATGTTACATCCCAGAGGATGTAGGTATGTGATAGGAGTTTTAGTCCATGATGTTAACTGGGGCGTGACCATCTGAGTCAAGTTTTATCATCATTGTTACCACCTCTGTCCTGTACTTCACTTTGTAGCAGAAACAGAGCCTTAGAAGGATGAATATGAACTCAGCCTGGATGCCTGATCAGCTAGTAAATCAGTCTAGAAGCATTTGGTAAGTTCCTCTCTTTGAGTGGAGATATGCTTTTGGGGGCTTTTTATTCTGCAGATAAATATTCAGAGCTTGTAATCATGAACTCAAGAAAATTCAGACCTGAGACAGTTGATCTTTTAACCTGGGCAGTTGCTACTATATTAAATTGCATTCCGATTATTTGGAAAGTACAATGCTTTTGATCAGCTACTGAGGTCATGTTTGTGGGGTCAAGTATCTCATTACACTTGTATTTTCTTCCAGATGGATTTGTACCTTTATTTTATTCTGCTGGTTGTTTTTCTGGGTATTATTACAGCATATATTGCAGCCTTAAAAATAACTCTTATTCCCACTCCCAGAAGTTAAAAGCTACATTGCTAAAACAATAAGTGTATCTAATGAAAAAAGCTAATATACTAGTTTCTCCCATTGTGTGAATGTGGTGTGTGTGTGTGTGTGTGTGTGTGTGTGTGTGTGTGTGTTTTGAGAGAGTTAGTTAATACATATTTGTACATGAACTCAAAGTGATTGAAGGCATTTCACTCTTGTCTTAGGAGAATAAAGAGAAAGAGGCATTAGATGCATAAGAAAAAAAAGTGTCAGTCCCAGAGGGTATATATGGCAATACTGGGCAATATGCAAAGAACTACAATGCACATGCTACAAGCCAATTGTTGTTTGGTGGCTGCCTAATGAGTTTGGAAAACTACCCAATGTCTAAGTTTCTATATCTGCCTCGCTTAGATTTGATTTTTACAAATAGTCACATTTGTTCCAACCCCTGTCTCCACTCCTGTTATTGGTCAATTTATATATGTCAAGTGGAAAATACATTAATTTAGATTCCCTGAACATCTGCTGGTCTCTAGATGGACTTGAACTGAAATTAAAATCATTGAGTCATTCATCCCACAAATATTTATTGAGCATCTGGGGTCTATGCAGGCTGTCAGTCAGCTCTCCCAGCAACTAAAGCTCTCTGTGAGAGGAAACCCCCATGATAATTATGCAGAGGAATAGAAATCCAGTTGGAGCAGGCCCTGGAGAATTCACCCCTCTCTTCTTTTTTGACTATTTACTGTCCCATGACTTTTGATCTGACATGGTATCTAGATTCCCAACTTGTATTTGAGGCTGTCTTTTCTGGGTGTGTCTTTTTTGCTTGTCTACCTTTTGTATCTGGATTTACTCCTCCTTCTTTAACTACTGCATGTTTCTATTTAGACCCATTTGATTTCCTGACTCTATACTCTAGCCATACTAAGTTCAAACCCTACCTTCCATCTCTTCATCTTGATATGGGGAAGTTGACCAGGGATTGGGGGGGAGGGGTGGGAGTAAGGCAAAGTCTCTGCTATTATGTAGCTATAAAATAGGTGCTTTTTATCATGCAACCGAACAGGCTCATATTCTAAATGAGAGAGAAACAGCATGGCCCAGGTGTCCTTGGCTTGTTCTAAGGTCATGTCAATGTGGGAGTGACTGAAAGATCTAGTGGCTCCTTCTGCCATGCCCATCTCCAGATCTTTAAGTCAGTGTTGGATATGACCACAGTTTGTTTCTGGGCATAAACTAAGCTAAAAGGAGAAAGAAGATGAACTTGTTTCTGATACTGGTTCTCTGCAACACTGCTTTCATTCCTTCCTGCCCATATCCCATAGGGTGTGATAATCACCTGCTCATCGATTCAGCAACTTCTGGTGCTCAGAGGAAGCTATTGTAATCAATTAAAGTCATGAGGATTCTATTTGTGTTCCATTGCAGCATCCTCAAAATAATACCCTACCACCATGAAATAGTTAATTCAGCTGTTGAAGTGGCCCCTCTTAAAACTGGTCTTTTCTTTCATATGTACTGTTGTATCAATAACCCTGAGCTCTGTTTTTAAATGATCACCACATGTCAATGCCAGTGACCTATTTGTATATATAATATACACATTTACCAAGTGCTGTAACCTTTAACATTTACAGAACTTATGCCATGTGTGCATTTTGTGTAATAATTATAGTTTGTTGACCCATAATAAATATGAAATCATCATCTTCATCACTAGTGAATCTTCCAGACCTAAATTACTAAAGTTTTTTCTTGCTGTCCTTCATAGTTTGTAAATGTGACATTGTAATGTGAGATTTATATATTTTTCTCATTTATAGGGTTCCTGATGGCTTACTTCTTCCTTGGTATTCTTTAGTAACAACATTCACTTTGTGATTCCTCTGAAGGCTGAAAACTAAAAAAAAAATGAGCAAACCGCAAAGCCAAAGCCCAAGCCCCTCATATTCATGATCATTAATCACCAGCTGGGTGTATGTGTCAGAACTCTGTGCATCTCTGATTTTGTACCTATGCCCTTTGGGCAGAAACCTCATCTTATTCGTGTCTTCTGGAGCACCCAGGACTCTGCTGGAGCTCCATAAATAATTAATCTCACCAGTAGTAATGGAAGCAGAGGCTTCCAAAAGACTCCCTTCCCCCTGTTTTGTGAAACTGGTGTTATGGTATTTTAGCTATCAAAACAATGATTAAGCAGCTCTGGCACACTTTATGTTTGAGCTAAATGTGATTTTGCTAATGCACCATCTCATTCCTCCCTCCCCCAACACTCGTATTTTAATGATTTCTAATTAATATTGTAATATTTCTTGAATAATTCATGTTTTTAAACAAGAAAGGCTGGCATACATTTCTGTCAATCTGTTTGTGTACTGCAGTGCTGCGCTTAACAAACAAACACAGTCTGCTTCCCTAGGAGACCATGGAAAGGGACAACAGAAGAGAGAAAGCATGGGGCTGGGATTCTCATTCCTCCCAGGAAGGGAGGCTCCCCCACACACTCAGGTTGCCTTCTGAGGTTCCAAGATAGACACCTTTGTCTTTGCTATCACCACCTTATCATTTCATCCTTTCTCTTGACAGGTGCCTGAGGCCCTCAAGCTACCCTTTGTTCCTCCAATCCTCCTCTCCTCCCTTCCAGCTGTTTCCTGGACTCCATGTCACCTCACCCTTGGCCCCATAACAAACTTGGCCTTTTGCCTCTCCGGATATTGCTCAGGGCAAGAATAGACTAGTACAGGCTAAGTGGATAGCTACTGGGGGTGGGCTTATTCATTTAGGCAACAAGTATTTAATGAGTACCTGTTGCCTGCTTAGAACCATGCAAAACCTGAGGGCACTGGGTGGATTGGTTATTGGGTAATCTTGGCTGAGTAACACAATTGCTTATTTTTTTAAAAAAAAATATACATATTTTTTTTGCCGAAACCAGTTTGGCTCAGTGGATAGAGCGTCAGCCTGCGGACTGAAGGGTCCCGGGTTCGATTCCAGTCAAGGGCACGTACCTTGGTTGCGGGCACATCCCCAGTGGGAGATGTGCAGGAGGCAGCTGATCGATGTTTCTCTCTCATCGATGTTTCTAACTCTCTATTTCTCTCCCTTCCTCTCTGTGGAAAGTCAATAAAATATATTTAAAAAAAATATATTTTCTATTGATTTCAGAAAGGAAGGGAAAGAGATAGAGAGAGAGAAACATCAAGAATAAGAGAGAATCATTGATTGGCTGCCTCCTGCATACCCCCTACTGGGAGGATTGAGCCTACACCCCAGGCATGTGCTCTTGGTGGGAACTGAACCTGGGACCCTTTAGTCTGCAGGCTGATACTCTATCCACTGATCCAAACCAGCTAGGGGACTCAGTTGCTTCTTTACAGGGGCTCCTGTGTGGGACTCTCTGGAAGCTTTAGGGACATCTCTTTAATGAAGACCTTTAAGCCACCTTCTGGATAGCTGATGATTCTACCTTCATAGAGCTCAGGCCACAGTTGTGATGTGGTAGAAAGCCAGCCATGGGTGGGTTTTTAAATTTGAATTTACATTTTGTTTTTCAGGAAAATCTGACCTAAAGATTGGAGAAAGGGTTTTAGAACAAAGGATCGGCCCCATCTGGACCCTGCCTTCCTCCTCCACACGCCACATGGTGATGATCTCCTTCACTTCATTCAGGACTAAGTTTGCACTCTATTACATTTAACATAAAATGACTCCGACCCATGCAGTCCTTTGTCCCTCTCTCAGATGTGGGAATCCTACTGCTTTAGAGAACTGTTCCATGGATGTCTGCTGTCAACTAACTTTCCGTTCCTCCTCCTTCCTTGGGGCTGGAGCAAAGACTTGAATATGTATGGTTTCTGCCTGCAGGACAGCACTACTAGTGCTATGCTGACCCTGCTGCCAGGCTGGTAATGTGTGTCACTGTTAATTAGTAGTCAATGGAATACCCCAGCCAGCACAGCGACATGGCTCACTGAGATAGATGTGGTTGTTTTGATTGCAGCTCTATTGCTAGGCTAACTGCCATTTGTACCGATGATTTCCAAGTAGGTAGCAAAAGGGTAGGAGGAAAATGGCTTAATTTGATTCCCCCCCCCCCATAGTTAAGAGTAATTTTAGTGGTGAAGATACTCTGTGAGGCATCAGTTCCCAAATTCCTTGCGGGCTTAGGAAGACAGATTGTTATTAACTGACAGTATCAAGGTAGAGAGTACTGGTGATTATGTATATGGTATCAACTTCCCTGAAGGAGACAGCATACATGCCTTCTGATGGACACAGTCATCCTGCAGACAGAAAGGACACCCATTGCTGCTTTTTATCCTAATAACACTGAGAAGTGGAGAATGGAGTTGAAAGTAAACACAAAGTGGTAGGAGGAGGTTCTGCTGGTGGGCAGAGAAGTTCAGCTTGTCTCTGCCCACAGGGCATAGGAGGGCAGAATGGAATTTAGAGATGAATAAGTCCCCCCGAGGGAAGTGGAGCTTCTTAATAACTCTGAAAATTTTCAGAATGCACCTTTCCTTCTTGTCTCTCCCAATGTCCCCAGAGGCTCCTGTCTCTAAGCTCAGTTACACTTCACCATTATGGGCAATTTATGTTTGTGTCCCTGTCAGTACGGAACTGTCCCTATCAGTACATAACTAACAGCCCCTGACTCTATCTTATATTTCCTGTCCCCGCCCCCCACCCCATTGCATTTAGGGACTCTTCCAAACTTCTTTCTGCCCTCAGACTTGATCCTGCCACCTCCTCTCATTTTCATCATCTAGCTGTCTGAGAAAAGTACTCTCACATTTACTCTACTGTTTAGAAGCATCTCAATTTGCACCCATTCCCACCTGTTCAAGACCATTACTGCCTCTGGGGTTTGGGGGCACTCTCTTCGCTCCTTGGGCTGTGCTCCCATTTCTCCCTCTCTTGCATCTTCAACCTGGCCAGCTTCATTGGTATCACTCATGTTTCTCTCATTAGCAAAGAAAAAAATTTTAATTTTGACTCCCATTTTCCTTGAGCTATAAACCTATATTATCCCATCCCTTCATCAGGAAGTTTCTTGAAATAACAATCTACAGTGTTCCTTAAACAATTAGAGCTGGGCTTCAGCCTCCGTCTCTGTTACTCCACTAAGCTGCCACAGCAAAGACCACAGACAACTTCTTGTAAGCAAACACCACAATTGGCCATGTCCATGCTCATCTGACCTGGCTTCTCTGTGGAATTGGACTCAGGTGGCCACTCCCGGTTCTGGGAGGCTCTTTTCCTGTCTGGATTGATTTTCATGACGCCTTTCTCTCTAGGATTTTTCCCTTCCATCTCTGCTGGCCCCTTCTCAGCCATGTTTGTGGCATGTTCATTCTATCTGTCACTTAGCTGTTGGACTCCTGGAGGGCTCTATCCTCTGCTCTCTTTTGAACATTTCTGGACTTTGGAGAAATCTTATTTGAGACTTTGGATACCACATATAAGCTAGTATTATCTACTGACCTTTAAAAATTCTATGACTCTCTTCTTAGCATTTTAACTAAAAGCATGAGACTTTTTAAAATCAGGATCTCAAATCTTCTCCTTCAACTCATCATACTCAAAAAACAAAAAAAAATCGTCCTTTTCTCTGAGCCTAAAATTGGATCTCCCTTCTTCTCTATTTCCTGCCCAGGGACTGACAACCATTTACCCAGTTGCTTAAACCAGAAACCTGACTCTATCTTACATCTTACCTTCATTCATCACACCCAGTGTATAAGCCCACTGGACTCTGTATGCCATTACCTTCATTGTTACAGCCCTAATTTGGATCCTCCTAGTTGTGAAATAGCTTTTTAAATTTTCATGTCATTTTCTATTTAAAATTCTTGAATGCTCCTCAGTTTCTCACAAGATAAAATAGCTTTTTGATCCTTTCTATATGAAGTTCCTGGGCGATGCCATACCTTTCCATTTTTCCATGTTGATCTTCTACCTGAATGTCCTCCTGGCCAGCTCTTGTTCTCCCATGTCCTGGATAAAAGTCTACCTCTCCTATCAAGATCTCCATGATTCCAAAGTGAAGATTTGAAGGCTCTTTCTATACTTTGTGCTTCTCAAACTCTGAGATTATTGCTTTGTTTTGTTTTATGCATCTTTCCCCCTAATGGACTCAAAGCATCTTGAGGGAATGGATCTTTCTTTTTATATTTGTTACACCTGCTCACTGTCTATCACTATGTATATGCTAAATAAATGTATATTGAAGTTACATAAATTTCCACAGAATTCAAGAACATTCTGTCTTATCATCACCACTAAATTCACATTCCATTAAAATAAGAGAAAACCACCTACAATTTCTAGATATAGAAAACTGGGTTGTAGATATATCATTGTATCTTGAAAGGTATGCTACCTGGGATAAAATATTTGATCTTTCTGGTCCTCAGATGAGGGATAGCATGAGATCAAGATTTTTAAATTGTTTCCTGAAGACACCAGGGTTTTCTTGTAGGCAAGAAGGACAGTGAGGTTGAGGGACTCTGGGCCCTCCTCATTTCTTTCTTTCAAAGGGCAGCTCCACTTTCATCAATTTTATATATTGTGATTCCATGTAGAATTTTCTTTAAACCAAAGATTCCACTGCTAAAATATAATTTGGAAACCACTTCACAGAGTTATCTCTAATTCTCTTCTAGCTGAAAAAATGTCTGTGGTTATGTGAGCTGCATAGTAATATTGGCCTGACAAGGCACATTGCCTGGAAGCACAATGAAATGCATTATATAATCTTTGTGTAAACATTCAATTTTATACTTTCTTCATAAAAGGGAGAGGAGAAAAGGGTAGAGGTGTAAGGATGGAGAGGGAAACAAAGAGGAGGAAGAGGGGAGATAGGAGGGAGGTCAGTGGAAGGAAATGAAAAGGTGAATTAACTACAGGCAGAGGAACCCACTGCTCTCTCATTCCATGAGCCTATGCTGTGGCGGGGGTGCATGTCAGAGTGCAGATGAGCCAGGCAAAAAGAACCCGCTGTTCCCAGAAGCCTTCCAGACTGTGAGCATCACTTAGTGCTGACTGTAAGCCTAGTATTTGAAAATATACCTTTTTTAATGCAATATAGACCAAAATGCAAGCCAACAACTTCATTTAGTGTTTTATCAAAGAAATGTTCTGTTCCAGAGCTAGAGGCAGACTGGGTTGGACTTAGAAGGACTCTGTTGGTCTCTAAAACTTTGTGTGAACCATGTTTTTTTGTATCATTTAAGGGGTGATCAATTTTCTGCATACAATTGAACATAGAATAGAACATAGCATACAACTTCATTAGGTGACATGTTTGAAAATATGGAGTTGTGTGATTTTTCTGTGTTATCATGATTCATCAAGATTATTTTTTATGCAGGAGTTGCTTTACATATAAACTATAACAATGTTTATTTACTTGGACAGTATAGAATGCTCTGGAATTTGTGGAGGAGGTGCATAAATACCAGGACCATGCAAAGCTGTAGACAGCAATCATAATGTCAACTCTGATTTATATTAATCACATTTAAATGCAAGAAGGAGTGTTGGTGCTAAGAAAATTATATACATTAAATATAAATACATTAAAACAAAGCCCTTTGCATTGTAGAACCATAGGCAAAACAAACCTGAAATCTACATTCTGTATAAATGTTCTTGGTAGAAAAGATAGAAATTCTGCCTAATCATGGAATTGAGAAAAAGACAAAGCCAGATTCCAAAGAACAGAAAAGAAAACACTGACTGGTGATTTTATAATATAGAAATATTTTTACTGAAGACGTACATTTTGAAATCCTATTGAAAATGCCATGTAAAGTTGAATTGCCCTTGGACTGAAAAATGATATGGACGATATCTAGAATTTCAAGTTGGGAAAGAGCCTATGTTTTTTTTGAGCAACCCAATTTTATAGCCAACCTCTATTGGAAAGCTTTCTGAGCTTTCTACCATTCTTTAAAAGACGTATATGTTGTTGTCAGTTTCATTTAAGGCACTTACCTATTAACACTGCTCTTGGAAAATCCAGAATGGTTAAGCAATAGCAGATTTGAAATTTATTATTTTGCTTTGTAAAAAAAAAAAATGTTGCCAACTGAGAAAGAGATTGGATATAAACCTTTATTAGAGCAGTTTATGTTTATCATTCTAAAGTCTTTAGAATGTTAAGATGCTCCGAGCCATAAGTTAAGTCAAGGGAAAACCTTTCACCAGAAGCTAACCAATGTATTTTTTACAAGTCATAAATCCAGTTTCTCTTGAAACCATTGCAGTACATTGGAAAACCATTTACTTTAGAGCCGCATTTCAGAAGCTTGCTTTGTTCAGACAAAGCTAATGTAACCCAACGATCTGATTTGGGGAGCACAGAAGAATTCATATATGTGAGGTGGAGTCCACATTGTAGTTGGCACTCCCAAATCCATTACACCTGGTGGCTTATAATGAAGGCAGTGAGTCAGTTTCTCCATTTGGACAATTATCTATCTTCCATTTCCTCAAAACTCACCTTCATTCCTTTCAGTATTCTAATAATTACCCAGGCTGCTGAGAACCTTTCCAAATTATGTTTCAAGTTATGCTACATTTCCTTTCCACTTTCATGATTACTCAACACATGAATTTCTTTAAAAATAATATGATGTTTTTTATCTAAGGGTTATGTGTGGATGATTTTACCCCTTATTTTATATGTTTGTCATTATGTTTGTGCTGCAGATTTCATGATATGACAACATTTTCCAGGGCAGATATCTTCACTTCCTTCAGCAAGGCAGAATGCATAATGGATACAGCATGAGATTTGGGTTCCAGCCATCCTCATTCATCTTCTTAGTCATCGCTCAGATTGGAGATTTCTGCCTCCTCAGAGATTACTTCGCAGCCTGTACTAGGTCCCCTTTCTTCTCTCTCAAAGTACTTGGTATTTTACTTCAAAGCACTTATCAGCGGTGTGCCTTTATATTTACTTGCATGATTATTGAGCAATGCCTGTCTTTCCTACTAGACTTTCTGCATCATGTAAGAAAAAACCATGATTGTTTACCATTTTAACCCATTCCACATCACAGGCTCTGGCACATAGTAAGTATAAAATAAAATAAAAATTTTAAAGGTAAAATAAAATACATAAAGGTTTTTCTTCCCATTCATGCTTTCCTATAACTCATAAGGCAGGCAGTATGAACTAAAGACTACTTGGTAAAATGTTTTGAATAAATGACAATGTCTTTTAGAATTTTCAAGGTTGAAGATTTCCACAGAGAAACAAATTTACAGATTTCTGTTTCAAATTTTCAGGCAGTTCACAATATATGGAGCCCTTCGGAGGTGTGTCAGTTCCGAGGAACAGGGCGCAGCAGTAAGAGAGAGTCTTTGGGAGTAGGAGGGGGAGGGAGGGTGACAAGTAGTGCATCACTCTTGCTCAAAAGAGATGGCAACTGCAGATCCCAATTGCAATGCTGTATTTAACTTTGGGCGTTCAGCTTTAAAAGGGATGTTGACAAACTAGGGGATGATATGGGGACAATAAAAACTGGTAATGTCATTGAGGGATGGTTGGAAAAATACGTTTTAAAAGAATTCAGGTTGGGGAACAGGTATAATTGTCTCCAACTATTAAAAGAGTTGTGATGTAAAAGAAGAATTAACCTTTCCTATGGTCCCCAAAGCAGAATAAGGAACAATTCATGTCAGTTAAACGGAATAGCTGGCACTGTCTGAGGATGGAAGGGAAGTCTTGTAACACCGTGAACTTGTTCCACTGGTGTTTACCCAGAGTCTGCTATTGCACTTGGGAGTAATGCCGACCTAGAGGAGAGGCTGCGTTTTAGGGCTCTGTGGCACTTGGCAGAGCCCTGCCCTTAGCACCAGATGGCAGGCAGCGAACCTGCCAGTACTCAGCTCATACTCGTTTGTGGAACAGAAAAGGAACCACCTGTATCACAGGCTCTGTGGGTACAATATGACAATTTCTAAAATTTGAAAGCACATTCCGAGACTTAAATTTGTGTTGGGCTAACTAAATATCAGGCATTATTAAATGAAGATGTCTTAATTTCAAACTTTGACTGTTATACACATACAAGCCAGGGCTGTCATTTTCTCTTTCCATGCGTCTGATTCAGTCTCTTCTATCCATTGCTGTCTGAGTCCTTACTCCTTGATCCTGCTCAACTATGCCAACTGCTGGGTGCACAGGTCCTTCTTTGCTGGGGGACACTGGGGAGTGGATGAAGGAAGAAGACATGAGAAGTCATAGGCATATAGGAGAGTCTTTACTGCAGACCAAGTAGCCATTGCTACGAAGGAGCCTTCAGACAAAATAGTTCTTCAAAGTTGCCTCATAAAGTAGCCGCACAAACATAGCAGCCATTGCTAACAAAGCAGTCCAGCCAAGCAGCCTAGCTCTACATAAAAGCATCCTCATACCAGCTGGTCAGTAACACACTTTATACCAACTTAGACAAAAGAGGCTTCTTGCCAAATAGTGAAATCAGTATTTGGGTTATAGAAAAATACACCTGTGCAGTGTACACAGTACAATCATTGTGTCCTTGCTCAGATTGGCTTTGAATATCTGGCATACTCTCTGGACAGGGCCCCCACAATTGCCTAACTCCCCACACTTACCAGAACATTTGGGAGGAATGCTTTTTCAAAGAATATTGTGTCCTGTACTCCAACTTGTGCCAAAAACACTGTTATATGGTTTCCAAATTCTGTATTATAGTCCCCTTTCTGGGCATAGAGGAAGACTTGCTGTTAGGTTGTGGCTATCCTATATAATAAAAGCCTAATATGCTAAGTGTCCAGTCATCTGTTCAACCAATCAAAGCGTAATATGCTAATGATATGCTAAGGCCGCTCAACCACTTGCTATGATGTGCACTGACTACCAGGGGACGGACAGTCAATAGGTCGACCAGTCTCTATGAAATGCACTGACCACCAGGGGGCAGACGCTCTGACCGGTAGGTTAGCTTGCAGCTGGGGTCCAGTGGATAGAGACTGAGCAAGACGGGCTCGACATGCCCTGGAATCCTCCCACAGTCCCTCCCTGGCTGGCCAACCTCCCACATCCCTCCCTGGCTGGTCAACTTCCCACATCCCTCCCTGGCCCCAATCGTGCACTGGTAAGGTCCCTTGGCCTGGCATGCACTCTCTCACAATCCAGGACCCCTTGGGGGATGTTGGAGAGCTGGTTTTGGCCTGATCCCACAGGCCAGGATGAGGGAACCCACATGTGCATGAATTCGTGCATCAGGCTTCTAGTCTGATTATGTTTTGGTCAAAGGATCCTGGATGAAAATAATGCATGCTATTTCTGGGTCTGTTTAAAAACCTTGCTTATTTATCCATACTTTACTTTTCTTTTTCAGAAATCGTGGAGGCCAGGTATTGAATATCAGTCAGATAATACAGAAATAGACTAGTTCCCTGAGTCACCATTTGGAGGATAATTGCCCCAGAGAGCCACGTGACACACATCCCACTGACTTGAACAAAAAAAATAGCTTTATTGCATTGGACCCCTGAGATTTCAGTTTTATTTACTGATTTATTTTTTAAAACACAGCAGAATTTAGTACCAAACAGAGTGGTGGCTAAAACAAACACCTCAAACCCTAGACACTGGTTTGGTGTTGTGAGCTAGGTAGCCCTGAGATGAGAGGTTATCATTCTTATAACCTATTCCATGCCTAAACCCCAACCCTGGATAATATTATTATCTGTAGTCCCTTGGCAGTTATTGAGGCTAAAGTGCATCTTAAAAAATTAATAATAATTAATAATAATAGCTTTTATTGAACCCTTACTATGTGCCAGGCACTGGACTATGATATATGTGTTACTTTGATTAATCCTCACAACAGCTTTGCAATAGAGACACTTCTTTTCCCTTTTTACAGATAAAGAAAATGAGAATCAGACAAATTCAGCTTCCATGTTATCAAATTGACAGTGGAGTATCTGAAAAGTTAAGTTTTCCTCATTATAAATTATCTGGAAATAAGTAAGGAGAATATCCTAAGGGAAAGTACTTACTAATCTAGATTACAAGTTAACCTAATAAGTTGGAAAGGAGTGGAATTTGTTGGAAAAAAATCTCTGTCATACACACACACACACACACACACACACACACACCATATTAAGACATAACAGAAATCTCATAATAGAAGTCTATGTGTAGGACCCAAAATAGAACACATAGGATTTGCGGTAGAACCATGCTGTCCAATTTAGTAACCACTGCTACATGTCTACTGAGCACTTGAAATGTGTCTAGTTCACCCTGCGATGTTCTGTGAGTATAAAATACACACCAGATTTTGAAGTTTTATTGCAAAATGTAAACTATTTCATTGATATTTTTATATTCATTAAAAGTTGAGTAGTATTTTAGATACGTTGGGTTAAATAAAATCTATTATTAATTTCACCTGTTTATTTCTATTCCTTTAATGTGGCCAGTAGAAAATTTAAAATTCCATCTGTGGTTCACATTATATTTCTGTTGGACAGTGCTGGGTAGAGTATCAGGAATTGGGAAACCCAAGATAAACTGTAGAAAGTGTTTCTGTCCCAGAAACAGTTTAGATTTTAGTGAAGGTGATCTTGGAGTCAGTTTTGGAGAGATTTCTCCGAAATCTTCATTTGGTCTTTTGGTCTACTCTTCTTGAGTGCCTATCCCGGTTTCCAACTATACAGACTATCTCAAATCTTCTTATAAACAATGCCCTTGCTTATATAAATCCCCAAAGAAGCTATGTCCAGGCCAATGTTTCTTAAATTTAAGTGCCTGGAAATCATGGTGGGAGGAGGACTTGTTAAATGCAGAGTCTAAGTTGTTATGTCTGAGAATGGTGCTGAGATGTGGCCACGGCTGCAGTCTGGGGGCCATACATGAAGAAGCCAGAAGCTATAACACAGAGCCACCAGATATCAAAATTTGGAAACAAAGAAGAGAAGTGAGGTAATTTTCATAAACCATCAGAGTGAACCCTCTATCCTCAACTCTTCTTTCTTCTCTCAGATTGAGCTGTATCTATAGAAGGTGAAGTGAACAGGCCACAGCACAACTAATCTGCTCAATTCTACTGTTGCAAAGATTGATGGAGACCATTGTGTGATCAATTTGGTCATGACACTGGGTATCAGTCATGAGCATGACTGAAATGAATGGAATCACTTTATTCCAATCTGGTTTGCTTTCATTGTGTAAACTTAGCTGCTCCTGAGGGCTGGGGTCAGGGAAATCAGTGCTACACCTAAATCCACTAACCTTCCTGAGATAATTTATTAGCAAAAAGTCAGCATATTCATGCAATTTAGTTATTATACAGGACAATCAATCAATTTGCCTGCCTTCATTCTTTACTCAGAAGATGTGCTTACATTCTACTGAAGTTAGAAACTGTCACAATTTAATATTTATAATATTGAAATTTGTTATAAGATAATGAGCTAAATTCTCAAGTTAAATCATGAAATCAGTTAAAATAATTTATAAAGGAAAATTAAGGAAATATTTGGAGTAGTTTTATAATATTTAGTATTAGTTTATATTCTTCTAAATACCTACTTAGAAGAAAAATTTTCTTTTGTAATTTTTAAAATATTTAAAAATAATCTCATTAGTTAAGTATCAATTTATACTTCTTTGCTGTGTGGATATAGTCAGTCATATCATAGTTAAGACATACATTTTGTATGACACTTTGGGGTTTTTGAGGTCCTCTGAATGGAAACTTCAAATTTCTGTGACCTTGAGTCTCATTTTCCATCACTCCTCACATCAAATTACTTTACTGTTCTTTTTCTTGTTATTCCTGCAGTGGCCTCCTTATTTGAATTCAGATCTGGTTCAAAACATTGGCTGCTACTTTGACCTACACTGACACTTCAAAGGCTGAAGAATAATTAGTGAAATAAAAACCTCATAATTACTTTCTAACACACACCCACACAAAGCCTTTTGTTGAGCTGGCAGAATGGATTGGGATTTTTGTTGTGTTGTGTTTTGTTCTAAATGATTGAGCATGGAGCTAAAGTGAAGTGACAGACATTTCTTGAATGCACAAAATAATCTGAAGGCTAAGATACTCAGTGTTTCACCTTAACAGTATTGAAATCTTAGTTAAGAATCAACCTCATTTAATATCCAATTTTAAACTTTAAATTCTAACAAAAAGAAGTCTTTCTTTGGCAATCACTGTATAATAACATATGATACCATATTAATAACAGCAGTTTGGTGAATTATTTTGTTGGCTATTGGCTAGGTTGGAGAATAAACAGAATTGTTCTGGTTCATGGCTCCAAGTACTAGTTCAACTATCCTAAGAAATTTTTTTCTTTAATTACATTTATTAGGTGACATTGGTTAATAAGATTATGTAGGTTTCAAGTATACATTTCTATGACACATGATCTGTATGTTGCATTGTGTGGCCACCACAGCAAAAGAAACCGCCAACGAAACAAAAAGGCAACCAACAGAATTCAAGATGACATTTGCAAACAACAACTCCTGAAAGGTGTCAATACCCAAAATATGTAAAGAACTCATACAACTCAACACCGAACAAACAATCCAATTAAAAAATAGACAGAGGATCTGGACAAACACTCCTCCCAAGAAACAAATGGCCAACAGATATATGAAAAGATGCTCAACTTCTCCAGCTTTTAGGGAAATGCTAATCAAAACTGCAATGTCGTACCACCTCACACCTTTTAGAGTGGCTAGTATCAGCAAAACAAGTAATAGCCAATGCTGGAAAATCTTTCTTACAGTTTAGACATGATGCATATGTTTGCATCGCACTCACTCTCTCCTTTTAATCTGAAATTTTGGTTTGGCTTAAACTTATTTATGTGGATCTGTCGGCATAGGCAGTTACAGTTATTAATATAAGGAAGAAAGCAAAAGGGAATTAAGTAATTTTTGTAAAGTGGGAAGTGGGAACAAATAATGAAACAGAATTTCCATCTAACTTACCCATAAACAGAATGGGACAGAAAACCTCCTTAGGAATGCTAAAAGCTGAGTACTGGAGATGAGGGAAATAAATTCCTCTACAAGACAAATGCACTGTAAGAGATAGATGATGAAATGAGACTTTTGGACATGGGCAGTGGGAGTCAGGATACTGAAATAGAGGCAGGGCCTAGCATGGTAACAATTAGGAAGACAATTGGATTGGATCCGGAGCATGAAACCCCGATAGAATATACTGGGAGGAAGACTCAATCCAAATCCATGAATAGTTAGAAGTTTGGGTTGGATAATTTAAATGTTTCTTTGTCCTTTACCTAAACCAAGAGGATATATAGTGAATTAACAGAAGCCTCATGGCAGTGCTTCTGGAGTTTGCCCACCCTCTAGGTCCCTGAGGGTGTATTAATTACCCTTAATTCACAATAAAATCTTACCATCACGTTTAAACTTCTCCATATGAGTGCATTTGGAATTCTTTTCTGATGTCGCTGCAAAAGGACCTATTGCTCATACCCGCAACAGAGCTATCCATATTTGTTGTAACCAGTGGAAGAAGAGAAAATCAGATAGATACCACCTATTGTGGGGTGGTCCATTTTGAAAGATTCATTACTGGGTTTTTGTGGTACACATGTTGTTGCTACAGAAAAAATATAATTTTAATGGGTGGACAATTTTCTTAACAAAAAACACTTCTACAATACTACTCATTTGTAAATTAGGCAGAT